TGAAACGCACATGTGCTCAGAGAGCGCTCAGTGAGCTATGGCATGTCGACCACTGCTCTATATACATAGCGGTCTTAAGGTTAAATTAGTTAGTCTGTTCCAATAGCAGTCAAGTTTACAGGATTTAGTCAGAACTTACAGGAAGTCGTTCCTATTGACATAAAACCTGTAAGTGGGAACACTTTTGAGAGAGTAACTGAGCAACTGTTCCTAGTCAGAAGTTACAGGACTTAGTCCGGAGTTCTTTTTCCTGTAAGTTCATGAAAAGTGTCAAACGATCAGCTGATTTGCATACGTAAACAAAAACATAAAGCGGTGTAAGCAAAGAATCTTATTTTTGTACAAAAATGCAAGTAAACAACGAAATATTTGAATATGTATAGATTTTAATAATTAGTTAGTGATATTTCAGCCAAATAAGTGGTGTACAAATGACATGTAAACAAACCGACTGACGTTTTAAGGAAATAGTGCTTTTTGCGTTCCCATGCACTTCTGCATCTGTTCTCCTTTTAATTTCATTTGAGAGCGTAAAATTGTAGTTCGACAGTTCCACAGGTTTTAGTCCGAAGTTCAAAGGAACAGACTAAGTGGTGACATACACTGAGAAAAAGGATTAGTTTCGACAACTAAAGATATTTAGTTCCCGAATTTTGACAATATTTGGGAACTGTTACCAAGGATTGGGAACTATTACCATCGATTGGTTATTATAACTAAATATATTAAAGCTTCTAATATTCATCTAGGTTGTAACAAATCGTTAATTTAGTTGAAGGGTTTGGTTAATACTAATAAATATTTCTTTGCAGCATATTTCTACAAATTCCATTCAACTTAACGTATGGTTCATAAAAGGATGTTATTAAGCTCTGCTAATGCAGATAGGCTTTCTTTCAACACGTGGTTTAGTCATAGTTACCAAATCTTAGTTGAGGCAACCACGATTTGGTTTGAGAGTGGAACATATTCATGCTTGTGAGCCACCCCTAAAGAATGCTGAGCGCTCTCTGAGCACATACGAAGAGCGCCAGCTGAGCAATGCACACAGTCCCACTTATTGAATCGTTTGAATGCGCTAGTATGCCGACCATTGCATTGTGCGTGGAAATCATTGCTCCGCTACCGCTGTTCGTATATGGGTGAAACACGCATGTGGTCCCAGAGCGCTCAGTAAGCTATGGCATGTCGATCGCTGCGCCATGTGTGCTATGACATGCCCATACTTGTTTGTCACAGTTTCAGTTTTGCTATCATCGCAGGTTGTTTCGGTGCGCGCATAGTTTAAAGTTTAATTAAAAATATAAAGTTTGATGCCAACCGGGGTTTTTCAGTGGATATATAATTCATGTGAATTATAATTTGAAAGTGTCTATTTAGCTAAGGAAAAAGCAAGGCAGTATACTTCCAGCAGATATTGACCTGGGTTTTCGCACGACTGTTCCTGTTTCATCGTTCTTTTTTAGGAAATTCTTACCACCATACACATATGTATTATTTACTTTAGTAACTAACTTATGTAAATATGTACGTATTTTTATGCTTAATATATGCAAATAAAAGAAGAAAGTAAACACAACAAACATCGAGTAAATTTTTATTTGTGTCAAACTGAAACTTTTTTCCCAATAATAAACGGTTAGCTAATCAAGTCTACGGCAAGTTCACAAAATTAATTAAAAACTTGTATCAACCAAAGCATTGTTTATATTTGCTCAACAATGATTTTATTCAACTAACAATATTGTCCAATCAAGGTAGTCGTTTTGTAATTATTAACAAATATACATTTGTCCCAACTAGAAGTCTTAAGTAAATTGCAGACTTTCGTGAACTATATATTTATTTCGCCATATCCAACTATGCCACTTGATCACTATAACCAAATCTTGGTTATTATAACTAAACCTTTTTCTGGGTGTACCATAACGCCATAGCCATAACCATTGCCATAACCGTAACCACATTAACTATCATCGATTATAGGTATCATAACCATAAGTAGCTGATCTTTCGTACTCAACAATGTCGGTGTTGCCAGACGCGAAACAAAACGCGGAGAATGTGTAATATCGCAGGATACTTGCACAGAACTTCTTTCACTATCACCAAATTAACACTAAATTCTTAAAACTCACCAGCAGAAAATAATAAAATATGTCTATCAAATTAAAGGTAATAACTTGTACTTTTTTAATAATATAATCTTCTTTTGCATTAATAATGAAATTTTGTTAAAAAAGGTTATTTTATGAAAAACTACGAAATTTATTTTTGTTTTTAGCATATATGTAATACTTCTATATTGGCAGTAAGCTAACTTCTCAATGTGTAAGCATTCCGAAATCAAAGCGAGACAGTCTGATATATCTGTACTGTAGTGTTTTCGGACGGTACTAGCTCCTACTGCCAACATAGGAGTATTACATATATGGCTTTTAGTATTTTTGGATTAAAACTATAAAAAAAAGATTATAAATTATTAACATCAGCTGAAAGATAAATTAATTGTCTTTATTTTGACACCTTTTCTTTATCGGTTATGTAGTTCATAAGATGTTAATATTTAAAGAAATCAAAAAAAATTAATTTAGTCTTCTATATCTTTTTTATATTTTTGAGCCAAATAATTTTGGTACAGTTGAAATCAGCGTGAGAAATTATATCGAGCCACATTTTAAGTTTTTGGATAGCTAAATGGTTCATATTAGCTACACTTATGCCAAAAACGTTGTCTGTGAACAATATTTTTTTTTTAACGTCTGGCAACACGCACTTCTCAGATATCAGCTGATATGGTTATGGCGTAAAACTCAATTCAATTGGTCTCTATGGCTATGGTTATGGCTATGGCGTTATGGTGTGGCACCACTTTTCGAATAGAGTGTTGGCCATAAGGCTGGTTGAAACTAGAGGGCTGCGTGAATTCATTCAAACTTCTAGACAAACAGAGTACAGTAGATTTGAATATTTTACTTCACATACAAAACACTCAGCGTTTGGAATTTTGTAAGTTATGAATATACATGTTGGCTGCATTTCTTTATTCATTCTGAACGTTTGGAATAAACTTTTTTGTTTATTTATTCTTTAGAACGTTCCTGATGATATTTTGACGTATATTTCAAACGCATTCTGTTTATTCCGGCTGTGAAATTGGATTATCCGGAATGTATAAAGAAACGCAGCCTTTGTTTTATATTTTCTACCTTCAAATGGAAGAATGTGAATGAATGAATGGAAAACATTCAAATCATTCAAACTCAGTTCGGTAAAAGTTTTTTTCTACAAACAAGTTTTTTCGTATGTAATAGGAGCGCAGCAATACATACATACATACATTGTATGTTTGTACATATGTGCATAGAAAAAATATTTTTGGATATTCATACACAAAATTGTCATTTATTTCAATTCAATTTATTTTCACTTTGTTTGAATATTGTGATGTCGACACAAATATCAGAACAGCTATTCACTCAAATTCAAAAAAATTTGAAACCAAAATCAGTCATTCGTTTTGTATATGAATAATTCAAAAGCCGTTTTGAATGCATTCATGCAGCCCTCTAGTTGAAACAGCTGTTTTATATGGTTATGGTTATGTCATCACTAATTTAAGCTTAAGTAATAAACTTTCAGTTTGCTTATAGGCTGTTAGAAAACTGCACCTCTTAGACTAAATCAATTGAACTGGTAACTTTGCCCGGCGAAAATTTACCCAAAATGGGTGGGGCCAGCGTTACCGTTTTACTTAAATTTAAGCAAAATTGATTAAATTTTTCCTGCCTGTTAAAATGTTAAACTTTTCTTCGTTTTGCTAAATTTGTTTATTAAAATAGTCAAAAAGGATAATTTTCCTCAAAAATTCATAGTCGGAAGAGTTACTATTTGAATCAATTTTTCAAATTTATTTTGGGAAGACTGAAATCCAGATCCCATATAAAGTTCCAGTAAATGTTGCTCTACGCAATTCCCGATCTGCGGTCGTCGCATTTTCTAACCTCCGAGTGTACTTCTATCATGAAATCGCTCCTCATAAAAACCATTTTCCGTTCGGTGGCGACTTAGAACTTTAGGTCCCTTCATTTGCGTGACAAGATCACGCACATTATGATTAACATGATATCAAACTGGTTTTTTGCATGCATTCCAAAAACTAGAGAAACGGCAGTTAACTTTAGCAGTATATGTTGAAAGCCTGAAAGAATGTGTAATACATACATAGTTTTCAAATTAAGCAACTCTTAGACTATTAAATCCTTATTTTTGACGACAAATCTCGGCCTTAGAGAGCCTTTACTTACTTACCTGCTTACTTTTTATTTTTATAACCAATTTATCAAGCTCAGGAAGAACAAACAGTAACTCCAAGCATTTTCGTTTTATTAAGATCCGTTAAATAAATTGCTTAATTTTAACGGGATTTGTTAAACTTTTTGAAAGATTTTTTTTTAATTTTATTTTCGGGTGTGGCAACACTGGTGGGGTCCCTCTTCTCCGGCAACTCCGAAAGTATAATTCCGCTGATTAAGGCTTAGGTTAGGTTAAGTCATTAAGTTTCGCGAGTATTATTCAATTAAAGTAAACTATAATGAACGACTAGATACCAATGTACGTTCATTTAGTGCCTTCTTTTTTGTTGTTTGTATTGTTTATCCGACAGGGTAGGAGTATGATGTATACTTAATTTAGTGCATTTATTAATGTTAATTTAATACTAACAAACCTGAACGAAACGGTTTTTTGCAAATTATTTTTGAATGGTTCAAAAAATCAATTTCCGCCTTCGGATTCTTAGTATTGGCCGTTAATTTTTCTGTAAATAAATATGCAGAATTAGTAATTACACCAAAATTGGTTACACTGTAGGCTTAAATATATGCAATATGTTAGCTTATATGTATATAGATCGTCTTAACACTATTACCTATACATCTATATCTATAGCTTAAATATCACTAATTTATCTCACAATTATATGTGATCTTCTATTGCAGACCTAAATTTCCACTTATGTAAAAAACGATGCAACTATGCGAAGCTGGCTGGGTATTCTTTATATACAGAACGCAATACCACACTGATCAAAGACATTTGTAAGACAAACAATAATACTATTTATTATTATAATAAAACTTATCACGATGATATAAATTGCAAGATAACACCGTGCGATAAAAACAAAACAATTTTAAAACACACGAAACAAACAATATACATACAAAACTATGGGCCAAGGAAAGTAAAACTGCGTTTTTAGCATATATGTAATACTTCTATATTGATAGTAAGCTAACATCTCAATGTGTAAGCATTCCGAAATCAAAGCGAGATAGTCTAGTACTGTTTTTGTCAATGTATTGTGTACTTGAGTGCCGGTTTTGTAAATGTGTCGTCTACATGTTTATTTATAAACGCATGTGTTCCTTTTCTTTATTACGTGTTTATTGATATATCTGTACTGTAGTGTTTTCGGACGGTACTAGCTCTTACTGCCAATATAGGAGTATTACATATATGGTTTTTAGTTTTTCACACTGACGTCAAGATTTTTTCAAAGGACTTTGAAATTTTAAAGATATGCTTAGTTCAAAAAATTAATTAAAAAAATCAGTGCAATGCAGAATAACAATTCTGTAGAATTTAAAAGCAATAACGTTTTTTGGTTTACAAGGAGGAATAGGTATTGAAAAAGCGCTTTTAAAAACTTGTATCTCTTTAAGTTAATAAAGTTTGCAGGACGAAATTCGATGATGAGGTTGTACGCATATTAGTCCTCAAACAATAATTAAAAAAAAATCCAAATTTTCCAGGATATTTAAGGACAAAATTTTTAAAGGACGTTTTCCATACCCGTTCGTCCTTATGCTCCAAAAAATGTAATCTGTTATAATTCTACATAGTTTTTTCTTTTATTTGATACCTTTATTGTTATCCTACATTGCACTGAATTAAATAATTAAACATTTTTTGAAATAAACCAATTTTTTTAATTTCAAAGTCCTTTTAATAAAATCCGGACGTTAGAGAAATAAACTAAGTACGCAGTTTTACTATAATTTACCCATAGTTTTGCGAATAAATTCATTTTTTTGTGTGTAAAATTTACTGTCGCACGGAGTAATAGGAACAATATCTGATGAAATAATTAAAAGAATTAATTTAAAATATTAACAGATAATAAGCTCGGGAATACGTAATACATATGTATGTAAAAATTTAAATGGGTGAAACCAAAGCTACATATATTCAAGCGAGAGACCAAGTATGTAACGAATAGGGTGTAGATGAAGTAAATACATAACTAATTATAAAACTGATAACTAATAAAATAAATGTTAGAAATGTGAAAACAAACATATTTACGTATATCGACTTAAACATCAAACCAGTCAATGATTTATTGACTGTTGGTGTTGATGAATGGTTTGAGATGAACGACATTTTCATACTTTGCCATCAAATGTTAAATGATACATAGTAAAGATAATTAAACAATAACTTTTGTTTAAAATACTAAAGATAAATACTAGTTTAGCTGTTAAACAAAATTTTTAATAAAAATATGTACATAAAGATCTAGTTTTTTCCTTTTAACCATTTTAGTTTTGAACAAATAGTAATAATAATATAGTACTTTTATGAAAATGAGGTTAGTTTAAGGTGCTAAGCACAAATTTTATATTGACTTAAGTTAATAAAATCGTGGTTGGTTTGTAGTGCCGTGAACCAAACAGTTTAACTTTATTTGTAATTTTTTGGACACATTTTTTTTAATATGAACTGCATACATATATATGTATTAGGCCGGGTCGATTTGTGGGTGGGGTCGATTTGCTCTGTGAAAATCATATTCTAGGGATCAAAATAAGAAACTTTGCCGAAGGAACCATACCTCTAAAACGAATTCTGATGTCCCCCAATTTGGGTCGAACGTTTGGGTAGGGGCAAATTTTGAAAAATCCCACTTTGACCCATCTTGCTCCAATCGAGTCCAAATGTATGACCGACCCCCACTAACTTTGGAGGCCCGACCCACCGATGCCAGTGGCACACCCCCTGGAACCCCCCTGGGGGTTCACCATACAAACATTTCAAAAAATCGCCGGTTTTGCACTTTGCATGAAAAAATCAGCGAAATGCCTATGTTTTTTCTTTTTGGAGTTTATTTTTCTCTTTAGAAATTTATTTAGTCAGAGCATATGTAAATGAAAAAATGAATTTAACTTAGTAATAGAAAAGAAATTAAAAAAATGATTAGAAATTAGCGTTTTTACAACCCTTTTAAAAGCAAGGCATCACTGTGATGCATTTGCATGTCGTAAACATAGTTGTGTGGGTTTTTTATTCAACCGTTTTAAAAAATGAAGGTATCACTGTGACACAATTGCAAATCGGAAAATTGCTTGTGTGCGTTTTTTAAGACACAGCTGCATGTCGTAAACTTACTTGTGTAGTTTTTTTATAGCACCTACTTAAGAAATGAAGGTTGTTTTTGCAACCCTTTTTGTGGGTATTTTAAGGCACCTTCTTAAGAAATGCGCGTTTTTTGCAAGCATTTTAACAATTAAGGTATCACTGGAATGCACCGCAACCCTTTTAAACATGAAGGTATCACTGTGACACAATTGCAGATCGTAAAATTGCTTGTGTTGTTTTTTAAGCCACCACAAGACACAGCAGGTAGAATTGAAATTACCATTTCATTCTTATTACCTCGTCTCGTAGACCATATATAACGCAACAGTTTTTGTGAATGCATTAAGTCGTTGTGAAGAACTCAAAGTGTGAAGTGCTAATTTCAGATAAAAAAATATTTCAAAAATAATAATAAGTGAAGTGACCATTCCAAATCAAAAAGTTTACAATGAATCCACCATCCTCTACACCGCAAGATGAAGCAACTACATCAACAACTATCGAAAGCCCAATGGGTCATATACCCAAGCATGATGTTACTGTTTTTGGTGTGTCTACTGATTTAACTGATCTTAATTTACCAACCCATCTGGATATCTTGAGATATTATTTTTACTTAAGCGAACGTGCTAAAACAGAACAAAAAAAGTTTTCCCATAAATCATTCACTATTCAAGTACAAGATAAGTTGATTGGAATTTGGGAAAAACTTGGTATGGAAATAATGCTGAAAAAAAGTGTATTTAATAAAATTGAATAAATTGCTTGACAAGTATCAAGAGCAAATCAAGAGAAGAAACAACACCCAACAATTTACAGAGTATGTAAAATCTCTGGAAACAATTTTTTACATTGGAACATGTAAATGCGATTTGAAGGCAGCTCCATGTGCATGCGGCTGGGTTCCCGAACGCCTCAAAGAGTTCATGCACGATCAACATAATCAGAGAAGACTAACAATGGATGCATTTGTGATGGAAACTGAAGAGCAAGGAGCAACGTCTATGTCATCAATGCCAACATACCAAGATCCCGATGATTCAACATACGCACCGCCACCGGTTCAAGAAGATATGGATAGAAGCACAAGTTCACAATACACAGATAGATACGATTGTTTTAACTTTGCCTTGGTATGTGACAGATTTGGTGTGCCTGACAGAGTAGCATCAGCATTGGGAACCGCTCTTTTGCAAGATTTTAAAATTAAAGATAAGCATGGGAAACCTCTCATCATGGATAAATCGAAAGTTCGCAGAGAAAAAGAGAAATGCAGACAAGAAGTGCTTCGCAAACGGTTAGATGATACCAATTTGTTAGCGTTTTCATTCGATGGCAGAAAAGATGATACTTTAACGATAGATAAAATTGATGAGAAGTATCATACTAGGATGGTAAAAGAACCTCATCTTGTTATTTTGAGAGAACCCAATTCTGAGTTGATTGGTTACGTAAGACTGGAACATGAAACCGCTGAATACAAAACAACCAAATTAAATGGTTTTTTCAACGATAAAAATATATCACTGGATGCATTAATTGGAATATGCGCTGACGGTGAGCCAACAAACACTGGCCCACACGGTGGAATTATACGACGATTCGAATTGCTGTTAAAAAGACCATTGCATTGGTTCGTTTGCCTTCTACACTTCAACGAACTTCCGTTTCGGCATTTGTTTGAAGCTTTGGATAAATCAACCAGCACTGGACCAAGATCGGCAACCGGAAAACTGAGCCGTCAAATCGAAACTTGTGAAACTCTTCCGGTAAGTTATTGCTATCACTCATTTATTATAATTGTCAACCATTTTTAATTATTTTATTATTATATATTTTCAGGTGGTGGCCGGCTTCCAGAAAATTGAGTTGCAAAATATGCCCCCTGCTCCAGAAAAAATTGAATTTTCCACCGATTCGAAGTACTTATACGACATGGCCCATGCAATTTCCAGCGGCGTGGTTCCGGTTGATATGGCTAACATCAAACCAGGGAAAATTGTACATTCTCGGTGGCTCACCAAGGCCGCTAGATTATTGCGATTATATGTGACAACGGAAAATCCAGATGCAAATTTAAGAATTCTGGTTGAATTTATAATTAAATGTTATGTGCCAATGTACTTCAATATCAAGTATTACAGCTCTGTCGTGTACGGCAGTGCATTATTTTTCAAGTTCATTGGTTGGTCACGATTTCTAGAACCTCGTTTACGCAAAATCGTCAATCGAGTAATTAAAGATAATTCATATTATGCGCATTCGGAAAATATCTTGTTATCAATGTTGTTTGATGATAGCAAAGAAAAGCGCGACTGTGCCATCAAGAAAATTCTACGCTATCGAACCGATGTGGACGAGCCAATGGAACTTAGAGTTTATAAAAAACCAGATATAAACTTTAATTGCACAAGTTATACGGAAATGATCAATTTGAATGATATAAATATCGTATTTGAACCACCATTCACGCGAAGCATTCCGTACGATACATTGAAAGAATATTTAAATCAAGATGATCCACCGTTTAATGATCCAAAAATTCCATCACACATACAAGGAACGGAACGACATGTTCAATTGCTACCTAGCGTTTCCAAACGGGTTATACCGGAAAATGTAGAGGCTGTTATGGCGACGACATTAGAGAGCCGTGCGAAATTGCCCAGACTTGAAAGTAAAAAATATATTTTTCAAACAATAATTTTTTTTAGTTTCTTTTCTATAACTCACCTAAATTAATTTTTTCATTTACATATGTTCTGACTAAATAAATTTCTTAAAAAATAGATATTATTATAAATAAATAATAAATATT